TGCTTCTGATGTCCAGTTTTCTTTTCCTCCTGGTTCTTGTTAAAGTAGACCAGAGAATGCAAGTCAAAGGAGTGCTCAGTCCCACCTCTAATTTTTGTTGTCTAGACTAGAAGTCCAGAGTTATAGGCATGTTTCTTATAAATATTTAGCTGGGTTGAGCTACTCTGATTTCTGAACATGGTTGACCTTTAACAGAACTGACTTATGTCCTTACCCAAATAGCTATGCAAGGATATTGCCAGACTGTCACTACAAAATCTTACCAGTTACCAGCCATGCTTAGAAAACCTTGCACCACCAGAGGCAAAACAGATACGTTACTCTGTGTGGTGTTGCCTGGCAGTGGCTTTAATTTTCTATGCTAGTCTTTAATCCAAGTAATTAAGTAATCTCACAAGGAATAATCATACATGGCAATAGGGTCAAAAAGGCAGCGCAGTTCTTTCATACACAAACATTTTAAGAGTAATAGCAAATGAAAACTTAGCAAGCAGATTCAATTATTAGACAACAACTTAGGAAAACACCTACCAGAAGGCCCAATGTCCTTCACAAATTTTAAGAATACATGTACTCGGAAACATCTCTTAAATACCCAACATGCTGTAGCTTGTTTAACCAGCAAATTTATGCACAAGTATATAAAATATTTTCAGTTTTTTTTTTCTTTTAACAAGTTTACAAAGGTTTAGGTTACACGAATTTTCGATCAACTTTAGCCTTTTAAATTTACGGGAAACATTCTGTTACAGATTACAATATAATCAAGCTCTACAGCAATATGTAACACTTGAAATAACTTTCTTGTATACAGAACATTTAGACCAGCAGAGACATTAGAAAAACATACATAAATGATACAGAGGAGTTGATTAGTTAGATGCATTTAGTTTCACAGCAAACTACAGGGTCACATACATCAGAACAATAAAGCAGTTTCAGTGATAGTTGTTAGAATCTATAACCTTTTTTATAAATCACCAATTGATTTGAATTACTTTCTGATCTTAGTAACCTCAGTTAACTATACTTTTTTCCAGTTGGTACCTGCAATACATTATTGGCTTTATCAGTTTAGAGAGTCATCCCAAAGTACTGAATACAATAGATATAGCTGGAAAAAGTCCATTGCAACCTATAGGAGGACAGTTAAACACAGAACCAACAACGCTTTAGTTTTATGAGCAGTAAATCTGATATACAAAACTGTGGATGACAAAAGACCTTACGTTGTCATATTTAAAATTACAAACCTGTTAACCAAGAAGAGACACTTATTTACTTTACATAGCATTTTTGAAAGCACCTGTAGGATTTTACAAGGCACACTTAACTCTTTTAGGCCTCTGGGGCCCCTTCACCAAGATGACCATTATGTTTAGTAATGCTAGATTACCAGACTTTATAATTTTCAGATATGTATCAATACTATTTTATATCATGACATAATACAGGCCAAATTTGATCATTGTTACAAGGTGATTATTTAAAGGTTTGAAAATAAGCACATATTTAAATAACCCATAGCTCTTACTAAAAACTCAGTTGTTTTTAAACAATTAGAATTTAACAGAGACATCAAGAGAACACAACAGATTAACTTTTTGCTCTAACAGAAAATCAGTAATAGTTTCGTGTCCAAAAATTTTTTTTCTTGTAACTTTTTGTGACTTTTACACACCCTCTTTAACTTACTTGAAACATTTTATTTTTATACTTGTAATGTTTTTCATCTGTCAATTTTCTTGCTTTACATTTTGAAATAACCTATTAAAAATCTTTAAATCAAGACCACATTTTTAAACAAGGTAACATATCAAATTTCAGCATTAATTACTTTTAAGTGATGTTGAACTATTTTTAATATGGACAATCTATGAAAACATGTTAGCAAATTCAAACAGTTTTTCTATAGAACATAAGGTGTTGAAAGTACCAAAGTTTACATTTGGACACTTATCTCATTTGTCTTTACCCAATTTAAATTAGCAGTTATACCTAAATGACTTAAGATGCTGATATTATATATCTGTATCTGAATTTAATTAAAATTAAAATTGTATTTATCTAAAACAAGTGCTAATTACCTTACTGTTTCACTGAGTACTGACCACCCAGAAATTTGTTAAAACAAACTGCAAAATAAGTTCAGCAAGTTACAAAGCAATATCTTCTGGCTTGCACGAGATAAAACAGAAGAGCCATCAGAAGGGTGGGAGACACGATTTGTTTCATTGATAAGACAGGGAGAGTAGACTTTGCACCAGACCTGGTTCTAAGGTGAAGTTCAAATTCTGAGATAAGGCAAGCAGGAGGAGAGTTACCCAGTCCACACCAGTCTCTAAGGCCAAATTCGAATTTTGTGCCAATCTTGCATGCTGCCACTTTGAGACCAGCCAACAGAGCCTGGTGATAGACATGGAGCCTTTCCTTTACAGAAATTAACCCAACTGTAATTCTCCTTTTTAACATTTACATTGTTCCAACATGCCAGATGGCTGTTCACCTTGGAGACCTGCTGGAGATATGGGCATGGCCTGGCGAGAGATTTACACCCTCTTCCCCGGATTTTTGAGGGCCAGCAAGAGCTCACCGGATGCCGCAGCTGGCCCTCAGGGCTCCCGCTGGCTTCTCCACACTTCACTGAATTTCTTTACTATCACACTCAGAGCACTGGGCAGAAATCACATTGCAACAACACACGCCACCGGCCCTCGCTATGCTTTGTTTCAATTAAACAGTTGGAATCCCCTGGTCCACACCAGTTCTAAGTCGGCTACTAGGCGCTGGGCCAAGGCGAGGCACCATGAGGAACTGGCCCAAGGGGCGGAACTGGGGCAGGGAGGAGACTGTGCAGCACCGGGGGGGGGGGGGGGGGACAAACACGGGCCCGTACAGAATTTCCACGGACAGATTTAGATGGTCGTATTACAGAAGGTATCAACTGCTCCGAGGCCAAACCTCCGGGAGTTTGAAGGAGACCAAAGACCTTACGGATGGGACGAGAACTCTGCAGCAGTCCCTCTTTGTCCCCAGATACAGATTGGATCTTCCCAGGTCCCCAGATACTCCTGTTTACAATTGCTAACTAAACATGGGTTCCAGATTGCCCCTGAAAAGGTTCAAAAGGTACCCCCCTTTAAGGTTTTTGGGGCTGTCTTAGAACTAGATATGGCTGGCGCCGCGGCTCAATAGGCTAATCCTCTGCCTTGTGGCACCGGCACACTGGGTTCTAGTCCCGGTCGGGGCGCCGGATTCTGTCCCGGTTGTCCCTCTTCCAGGCCAGCTCACTGCTGTGGCCAGGGAGTGCAGTGGAGGATGGCCCAAGTACTTTGGCCCTGCACCCGATGGGAGACCAGGATAAGTACCTGGCTCCTGCCATTGGATCAGCATGGTGCGCCAGCTGCAGCGCGCCGGCCGTGGCGGCCATTGGAAGGTGAACCAATGGCAAAGGAAGACCTTTGTCTCTCTCTCACTGTCCACTCTGCCTGTCAAAAAAAAAAAAAAAAGAGAACTAGATACGGTCTCCCCCACTCGACCACAGCTTCAGATCCAACAAACCTATTCTTTATCTCAGTTAAAAAAAACTCCTTGAGGAAATTAACTGGATGAGACCTTGGATCCCTATTCGAACCAAGGAGCTTACTCCCCTGTTTGACCTCCTTAAGGGAGGTACCTTGTATAAGACTATTACTTTAGAAAAAACACACCAACACATTCTCCTTAAGCTCCAACAGGCTATATAGATTGTTCCTGCCTAAGGCGTTATGACCCTTCCACGCCCCTACTCTTCTATATCTTCAGTAGAAAATCCCTCATCACCGGCCTTTTGGCTCAAGATGGAGAGCTCATCCACTGGGTTCATCTGTCCATGGGAGGGGCCCCCCAGATCTGTGCCGCCCTAGACCACCTCGCTGACTGCATCATAAAGGGTAGGGACCTGTCTGATCGTCTCTTTGGTCATCAGCCACATACCCTTGTTGTACCGTTTTGGTCCACTGATTTCGAGTGGTTACAACGAAACAATAGCCGCATTGCAATTTCTCTAGAAGGCTTCCCGAGGAAGACTGATTGCCACTGTGGCCCCTATAAATGGATGAACTCCTTCTCCAAACTTGACTGGATACTACCCAAATTATTTTTGGCTGAAGCTGACCCATCCTTTCACACTGTGTTCACTGACGGGGAAAAATAGGAGCAGCAATTGCTGTCTTTCCGCCCCATATGCAGGGACAGGAAGTGCCAAAAAAAGTAGTTCATTATGTTCAAATGTCGGCCCAATTCAAGGAACTTTATGCCATTGTCCTGGTCTTGAAAACAATACAGGGACCCTTTAACCTGTTTACTGACAGTCTTTACGTGGCCAATCCACTCCCCAACCTCCCTTGTTCACACATTAAACTTGATGATAACCCTATCACTCCTTTAAGGATTCAAACCAGAAACTTTCTAAAGTAAAGGACAAAGCCTTGTCCACCTCCCGGATATTTTGTCTCAAGGTAATGCCATTGCGGATGCATTAGCGTACTCATCCCAGTGCTACCTTACACAAGATGAGGCTATCTCCTTTCACGACCTTATGTCAATTGGAGGGGTTTACAACATCGATACCCCCATATCCCAATTAAAGAATTAAAGAAAATCGTCAACTTGTAAGTCCTGCTCACCATCCTTACAGCTACCTCCCTTACAGGGGCCCAGGGTCAACCCTCGTGGACTGGCGCCCAACCACCTGGCAAACTGATGTCACCCATTTCACTTCTTATGGAAAGCTTAAGTATATTTTTGTAACTGTTGACACCTTTTCTCACGCCTGCTAGGCTACAGCCTACAAAGGCGAAAAGGCTAAACACGCTAACAATCATCTATTACAATGCTTTGCGGTTCTTGGCATTCCTAAACAAATTAAAACTGATAATGGACCTTGTTTTACCAGCACCTCATTTGCTACTTTTCTAAAGTGTTGGTGAAGGGTTAAAAAGTTAAAAGCCGCTCCCCCCCAACCTCCTCTGGTGAACTTTCCTGACCTCCTTAGACTTGCTCTGCATAGCCATTCTCTATAAAGTTAATTGGTCAGTAAATTACCCCAATGTGAGCGTAACCTTAGTTTCACCTACGTAAGATAGAAGAAGTCACCATATATCTCTTTGCCTCCTGGAACCCTGACCCCACCAGGTGTCCCTTATCGCCATTCGGCTGCATTCCTAGGTATCATCAAGGCAGTTCCTGCAATCTTGTGTGGCCCTCCCTTTTGGCAATAGGAGGCTTTTTGATACTCCCTGTGTTCCTAAATCAACTGATTGTAAAATCACTTAACTTGTATCAACTGTTTACTCTATACCACTGTCTGCTCTACGCAATGATTGATTTTCTTTGTTTAAACGTGTATAAAAACCCCAACCCAAGACTATTCGAGGCCGCTCGCCTGTACTGGGACGGGGGCCCCGACATGTCGGAACATCAATAAACTTTACCCTTTGTTAATTACATGAGAGAAGGTCTCTTGGAGCGTTTTTGGGGTGGCAAGAGCAATTCAACTCTAATTCGACTGTAACATATGGAGGTTCCACCGAGATGGCTCTGCTGCCCACGGACATCTCCAATGGACATCTCTCGGGGTAAGTAAAGGCGCCTAAAGGATAGGGACTCTGTGCACGTGCATTTCTGTTTCTGTATCTGGTTCAGGCCTGAAGCGGTTTCGGGCTGGCACGGTAGACGTTGGGCTGGCAGACGTGCCCGGAAGCCACAACGCTACAGCCTCGAGGGACGCCTCGGGAGGACCGGGAGACTGAGGACGCTCAGCGAAACTCCCATCTGGAATTCCCGCGGTCGGGAATTTGGTGCCAGCATCAGTATTCATCCTTTCTCTTTCAGGTTTTACTTCTATTGCATAAACTGTTTTCAGACTCACATTTTTATTGCCGGCATTGTCACAGGGCTCTGATGCGGTTCCAGAGTCTGTGTTTGTCTGTTTGTGTGTGGCATTGTCGCAAGACTCTGAAGTGGTCCCAGAGTCTGCATTTGTAGGTTCTGAAGTGGTTCCGGAACTTGCATTTGTATTGCGGGCATTGTCACAGGGCTCTGATGCGGTTCCAGAGTCTGTGTTTGTAGGTCTTTGTGTGTTGCATTGTTGCGAGACTCTGAAGTGGTCCCAGAGTCTGCATTTGCAGGTTCTGAAGTGGTTCCGGAACTTGCATTCGTATCTGTGTCTGTGTGTCAGTGTGGTTCTCGGACCCCATCTGGAACTCTGTAGGGGGCCAGGCTCCCCACCTCTGTAGGAACGAAGCGGGTCGCTTCCCAGGCGTGAGGCCGATGTTCCATTTTTGTCTTTTTTGTTTTGTTCAGTGCCTTTTTGTGAGTCTCTTTGGTGTTTGTTTTTGGCTATTTGTATTTGCCTTTCTGAAATTCAGACAATGGGACGGATTTAGACAACTCTTAGAAAGGGAGACTAACCACCCTTTGTTCTGCAGATTGGCCTACCTTTGAAGTAGGGTGGGCGCCTAAGGGCACCCTTGACATCCTGGTCTGGCAAGATCTGGTAAAAACTCCCTTTCCTGGTTAAAGCCTCTTTTACTCCCTCAGAAACAACCTTAAAAAAAAGATTTTAGTCGTCCAGGACCGTCCCAGCAAAGCAGATAAAACAAACTAAGACTTCAGCCTCGGCGCCGCTCTATTCTGTTTTACAGGGCGACTCTGAAGATTTGATTTTCCCTCCTCCCTACCAGCCGCCCGGCCCTGGCTGTGGGGCCGGCAGAGGGGGCCACAGGAGAGGGTACCAGAAGCAGCTCCCCAGGGGCCAGCAGATCCCTCCACTCCCCCTTCACAGGCAGCAGGGAAATCCCTGCTGTGCCATTAGCAAGTGCTGAAACCCCCTGTGTGTTCAAACAAAGCTGGCCCTTTGAGCCTCAACCTGCAGGACTCAGCTGGGGCCCAGGAATGGCAGGCGGAGGATGGGAAGGCGCGCCTCCTGACTTATTCCTCAGGACCCTAACTCCCCGAGCCATACCCGTCCCCCCAGACTGACTCCCCATGGCCGACCAAATGGGGCAAATGGATGGATCTCCTGGACTTCAGGACCCGGTAAGTCACCCTGGGGCACTCAGTACTCAGGCCCGCCTTTGTGCGGAAGGGGGGCTTCTGTTGCCCCTCTACCAGGGACCTGCCTGGTGTCTGCAATGGAAAAGAGCGTGTGTGTGGTGTAAATGTGTTTGTGGCTCCACGGCCCTGCAGCTACAGAGTCTAAAGGCCGTAACCTGCAGCTCCGTGTTCACCAGGCGGGCGAAGCAATCTCACTCTGGATCAGTGCCTGTTCCGGAGGTCTTTATCTCTTGTTCTTTACAACCAAGGGGGACACATTATGGGAAAATTCCATTCAGAACCAACTGTTCTAAACTATATAATAAAAACTTTAAAAATGTTGTCTTAATTTAAAAATTCTTAACAGGTTATTCCAAAATGTAAATGGGTTTTTATCAGCTCTTTTCTGTGCTGCTGTCCCTGACTTAGCTGATAAGAGTTTCATTTGTCTTGAAGGTTTCATGTTTTTCTATTTGTAGTACTGAGACTACGTTGTTTATCTGTTTTTAATGTTTGAGTGATTACCCAACTGATCAAAAATGTACTAATTTTGGCTAAATGGTTTGACTCTGACAGCTTAAATTCTAAATCGAGTCTTCCAACTTTGGGCTTCCAGTCGGATCCCTGGAACTCTCAAAGGATGAGACTCTGAATTTGTTAAAGTAACAGTTGCTTGAGTCAATTCAGACTATGTAAAATGTATTAAAATGTTATAAATGGTGTCAGACCTATGCTGTATTCATGTTTTTGCTTTCCAGCTAAAATAGTCTTATAAAAATAAGAGTAAATTCTGTGTATACAAGCCTTTATGTTGTTAACTAAAGTAAGCCAATGCAGATTGGTTCAGAAAATTGAGATAATGCAAATGCCCTTCGGTTTGCTCAGTGGCTTGCTTGCTCAGTTTTACATGTCTTTGATGTGCTTTAAACTTGTTTCTTTTAATGATAAAGATCTTTTCAAAGTTGTAACCATGCACTAGCGACCATGTTTGCTGCTCAGGAGGTGTTGTCCTTATATTACTTAAAAGCATGGAAATGTAATTTTGACTTCTATTTCAGATACTGGTATGGTATTCATTAATAACTCTGTGTCTTAAGTCATCTAGGCATCAGTACTAAGTAAAACTTGGAAAAATGTATTATGTGTACTTTTAACATCTCAAATTCGATAAGGGAGACTGTTTGAGTTTGTTAGCATGTATTCTCATAGATTGTCCACACATGACAATTCAAGGCTATATAAAAGTAACTACGGGTGTAAAGTTTCCAGAGGTGTAAACAAGTCATAAAAAGTTTTAAAATGTTTAAAAATAGTCTAAATCATAAATCTTAAAATCTGTTTTCACAAAAACTGTAATGTCTATTTTAACAGTGTCTGCTTAATTGGCTACCCTGCCATTTCTAAAATTAGGTCCTGTAAGCTCTTTTTGACTCTGTTAAATTATTCTGAGTTATGTGATAATTTTGTGTACTAACTCTAATGTTCAGGGTTTTTATTTCTGGTTTATTCGACAACAAAAGACATAAAATTCATGTTCTGCCTAAGTAATTTATTGTGTAACAACCAGGCATTGCTAGTTCAAATGTAGATCAAATGGAGGTCTAGCCAAAAGGGAAAAAGTGTGCCAAAAGAGACTTAGAGATGACGGGAGATGGTTATGTGGCAAATGCTAAAAAACTGGGTTCCAGGAGCCCAAAAAGGCTCTAGTGTCCACAGGCTACACGGTGAAAACCCAGAGACCCAGGCCCATAACCCACTGGCTACACGGTAAATATCTGGAGGCCAAAGGATGGCAGAGACCTCTGCCACAATTTCTCCTCTAAGTCAGGCTACGCAGTAAGCACTGGTTAAATGCTGGTTAAATCTGAAATCCCAGGAAGTCAGGCTAGAGACCTGACTCGCTGCCTCACTTCTCCTCTTTTCTTTTCCAGAAGGGAAGTTACCACTGTTCTGCAGGACTCTCCACAGTGATATACAATTTGATCCCCAGACCTTATGTAAGGAATGACTGACCATTTCTATAATAATGCCTGGTCACAGTATAGAGGACCAAACAACATAGCCAGAATAAGAGGTTAAAATGTGACAGCTAGGTTGATTTTTCGGTGTGCGTGGCAGATGGGCAGAACTCCCCTTTTAAACCAAATTGAGGGATAGATAGGAAGTTGTACTGATGACCTCAAAGTATGCAAGCAGGTCACCACAGTTGATCTTACCTAAAAGATCATAGTTCTCCTCATGGGCATGGTCTTAACTCGCAGGAAAATACTAAGTGTCAGAATTTGCCCATGACCATAGTTTTTTAGCTCACCCTGATATTAAAAAAAAAAAAAAAACTCCAAAAATCAGGGACGGGGTTGAGCACCCCCTTGACTGACATCATAGAGGCTGCCTCCTTGGTCCACTTTGTTAGAGACCGGGAAAATGAGGAGCAAGCTATCAGCAGGAGCGATGTAAGGATGGGCAACAGGCCAATCAGTGGCTGCTTTACACGGTGATCCACTGTCAAGGAAACCCAGCAAAGCCAATGCACCCCAAATGGCGCCTGTTGCTGACATAAGGAGCCAGGGCATTGGGCAAGCAGCTGTTGTAACAGCGACTGCCTTCTGTCAGCTCTGCCAAGAGCAAGGCTACTGGACATGGAACTGCCCTGGGTGTCGAAGGACTCCTGGTTCAGAACCGCAGACCCTGTGGCCCTGTGGCCCCGAGCTAAAAAGCCTTTGGCTCTGCCCAGCTTCCAGCTCCAGCCACTGCTATTGGGGATGGCCTAGGGTCAGTAAAATGCAAGTTGCCTATTTCCATCAGCCTCCTATTCAGCTCTCCTCCTAGTCCAGCCATGTAATGCAAGTCAACAGGGTGCCTCCCTTAAGGGAGATTTGCATCTCTTACAATTCTCTTAACAGCACCTCATGGATAGGTCTGGGCCTCACACACCCAGCCAGACCTTAAAAGTCCATCCAATAGTATTAAACTTAAAAAAACCCTCCCTGCCAGTTCCAGGGGAAAATGGTCCCCTCCACTCCTGTACTGAGACTATAGACTTGATCTATGCCAGCAGAAGGGACCCAAGAGACAACCCCCTGACTAACGCAGATGAGGTTTGGGTCACAGATGGAAGCAGCTTTGTCAGACTGGACCTGCTTCTCAGGGTATGCAATAGTTATGACATGGCACGTTATTGAAGAGTGCTCTGCCCCCAGGGACTTTTGCTCATTTAGCAGAATTGCCTTAACCAAAGCTCTAGATCACACAAGGGATTTGTAAGGCACCTTCACTCTGCATGGAGACCTCAGTCTTCCGGTAAGGCAGAAAGAGCCAACCAGGCTCTATGGAAAACATCACAAGGATAAAAATAAGTACTTAGTAAGTAAGGTTTAAAAGGAAAGAGCTTTTTAAATAAGGAAAGGGCATGGTTTGTAAGAATCCTGATGGCTAGTTTACTCTAGACTGGAATGGAAATGATGGAATGTTTCAAGTAAGTTGAAGAGGGTGTGTGAAGTCACAAAAGGTTATAAAAAAAATATTAAACATGCTAACTACTGCTCCAAGAGCTATTTGTGCCATGTTCCAGGAAAAATGTTGTCTCTGGGTCAATCAGACTAGACAGGTACAAATCCGAATTCGTACTTTTCCTGGAAAAAGCCAAACAGCTCCAGGACCAGGCAAAGCAGGGCTGGGATTTCTGCCCTGATATCTGGTCACGGAAATCCTGGCTGTTTCCTCTCCTTGGCCCAATAACTTCTGCAATCTTGATGCTTCTCTTTGCACTGTGTGTTTTTAATGCCCTTGTTCGTTTTGTCTCTAACAGACTAAAAGCTGTTAAACTCCAAATGGTCATCAGGCAAGGCTTCCAGCCCATTCCACTGGACTACCTGAGCAGCCCTCTGGACCGACTGGCACCGTCTTTCCAAGGCCACTGTTGCACACCATAAGACAGGTAGCAAGAGGAAATACCCAAACCCCCCTCGACGCCCACATGCCAGCTTCGAAGAAGTTACAGAAAACGGAACTCCATCCATAATCCCAAGGAAGAATTTTGGGTATTACCTCTTGAGGGGAAAATATTAGAAAGTCAGTTATGAGCTTATGTGTGTGTGACATAAAGGCCTAATGTGTCCAGCATATGCATCTGCACCTCAGTCATCCTGACAATGTTTCACTGGAAGCCTGGCCTTTGCATCCTGCCCTGCCCCCTTCTACCTGATGGCCTGCCAGGTGGAGATCCCCACCCCTTCTGCCTGACAAATCTTCCACAACCTCCCAGATACAGCCCAGTATCTGCATTTCAGTATTGCAGAATAGGCGGGGGTTGAATCTCATTTTCATAGAGGAGGGGGGGGTTATGCGCAGCCCTTAAGGAGGAATGCTGCTTCTATGTAGACAAGACAGGGGTGGCGAGGGACAACATGGCTCAACTATGTAAACGCTTAGAGAAAAGACAGTGGGACAGACTTCAGCAACAGGGATGATTTGAGTTGTGGTTCACTAAGTCTCCCTAGCTGAAAATGTTAAACTCATGGTAATTCATCAACAATATGTAACACACGGAGAAGGGGAAACAGATGGTCTCTAAGATTAGAGACCCTGGCCTAAGAGGAGTGGGGAATGAAGGGTTAAAAAGTTAAAAGCCGCTCCCCCCCAACCTCCTCTGGTGAACTTTCCTGACCTCCTTAGACTTGCTCTGCATAGCCATTCTCTATAAAGTTAATTGGTCAGTAAATTACCCCAATGTGAGCATAACCTTAGTTTCACCTAAGTAAGATAGAAGAAGTCACCATATATCTCTTTGCCTCCTGGAACCCTGACCCCACCAGGTGTCCCTTATCGCCATTCGGCTGCATTCCTAGGTATCATCAAGGCAGTTCCTGCAATCTTGTGTGGCCCTCCCTTTTGGCAATAGGAGGCTTTTTGATACTCCCTGTGTTCCTAAATCAACTGATTGTAAAATCACTTAACTTGTATCAACTGTTTACTCTATACCACTGTCTGCTCTACGCAATGATTGATTTTCTTTGTTTAAACGTGTATAAAAACCCCAACCCAAGACTATTCGAGGCCGCTCGCCTGTACTGGGACGGGGGCCCCGACATGTCGGAACATCAATAAACTTTACCCTTTGTTAATTACATGAGAGAAGGTCTCTTGGAGCGTTTTTGGGGTGGCAAGAGCAATTCAACTCTAATTCGACCGTAACATTGGGAAATTAAACATATCACTGGTATCCCCTATAACCCTGCGGGCCAGGCAATCATTGAAAGACAAAACAAAACATTAAAGGCCCAACTTTTAAAACAAAAAGGGGGAGCAACACCCCCTCATGACCAGCTAAAGATGGCATTATGCACCTTAAATATTTTAAATTTTTCAAAGACTGACAACCTCACTCCTTTCCAGCGACACTGGACAACTACTCTTAAGTACTCCACTGTTAAGGTCCAAGGTCCGATGGAGAGACCCCTCACGGGGGCCTGGAGGGGCCCTGACCCACTCCTAACGGCAGGCAGAGGCTTTGGATGTGTCTTCCCCCAAAATGAAGACAAGCCCATCTGGGTCCCTGCCAGAGACTCAAACACCTTCCCCCCACTGACCTTATTAATGACCTTAATCCAAGAGCCCAGCCCTCTTGAGGCCTTATCTCTCTCTCTCTTTTTCACAGGAACGATGAGACACCTGTGGCTACCTGTTGCAGGGGCGGTCCTCCCAACCCTGCTATTGGAATTGTCGCCTGGTGAGACGTCATCCGGCGGGGGACACTGGGAATTTCGGATCTTGGCTATCGGGATCGATCCTCCAGTAGTCCTCAACACTTCCAAATGTACCTCAAAGGAAGCTGAGCTTTACTTTGATGCCTGCCAACCCACCACCAGGTGGGGGTCCTGTGCAGATTGGGAAAAACTTATGCAACTAACCATAAATACATATGCTGGAAAACATTACAAAAGGGAGACTATGTGAATAGCCAGGAAGGTATTGCCCCCACTGGAGCTGCCCACATTCACACACAGGGTCGCTTAAGAGTCCTTTGGAGCTACTCTGCCCAAAGGGGAGCTCCTGTAAAAGAGGAGCTTGCAACCCAGTAAACTATAAGATAAGAAATTCCGATGATCCTAAATGGCTCTCAGGAGAGGATGCAGGAATTCGAGTGGGCGGGAAAGGAAGAGATCCATAGGGCCTCATTAGAACAATAAAGGTATGGATCCCTGCTCCTACTTCCTCCCCCACTGAGGAAGTGCTTCAATAAGCAAAAATACATCCCAGCTAATCAGTAATGTGGAAAAGGAAAATAGCCCATATAGCCCTTTTTGACCTGACTAGAGACGCTTAACCTTACTTACCAGCTGCTTAACACCTCCAAGTTACCTGTCTGGCAAGGCTGTTGGCTATGCATACCTCACCAAAGGAGACCCCCTATTATGCTCATTGGGATGGAGTTAAAGGCTAGCTCTGTCCCGTGCCCCTCTTTGTAGGTGGCTACAAAGGCCGGGACTGGGACAGAAGCCAGGGGCTGAAGCAGAAGCCAGGGACTTTAGGCCAGCGCCACGGCTCAATAGGCTAATCCTCTACCTGGGGCGCCGGCACACCGGGTTCTAGTCCCAGTCAGGGTGCCGGATTCTTTCCCGGTTGCCCCTCTTCCAGGCCAGCTCTCTGCTATGGCCCAGGAAGGCAGTGGAGGATGGCTCAAGTCCTTGGGCCCTGAACCCCATGAGAGACCAGGAGAAGCACCTGGCTTCTGCCTTTGAATCAGCACGGTGCGCCGGCCGCGGTGGCCAGTCGCAGCGGCCATTGGAGGGTGAACCAAAGGTAAAGGAAGACCTTTCTCTCTGTCTCTCTCTCTCTCACTATCCACTCTGCCTGTCAAAAAAAAAAAAAAGATAATACAGCCGGTGCCACGGCTCAATAGGCTAATCCTCCGCCTGTGGCGCTGGCACACCGGGTTCTAATCCTGGCTGGGGCACCAGATTCTGTCCTGGTTGCTCCTCTTCCAGTCCAGCTCTCTGCTGTGCCCGTGAGTGCAGTGGAGGATGGCCCAAGTCCTTGGGCCCTGCACCCAATGTGAGACCAGGATAAGCACCCAGCTCCTGGCTTCGGATCGGCGCGATGCACCGGCCACAGCGCACCAGCCGCAGCGGACATTGGAGGGTGAGCCAAAGGTAAAGGAAGACCTTTCTCTCTGTCTCTCTCTCTCACTGTCCACTCTGCCTGTCAAAAAAAAAAAAAAACATAAAAAAAAATAGATAATGTGGCCGGCGCCGTGGCTGAATAGGCTAATCCTCCACCTTGCGGCGCCGGCACACCGGGTTCTAGTCCCGGTCGGGGCGCCGGATTCTGTCCCGGTTGCCCCTCTTCCAGGCCAGCTCTCTGCTATGGCCAGGGAGTGCAGTGGAGGATGGCCCAGGTGCTTGGGCCCTGCACCCCATGGGAGACCAGGAAAAGCACCTGGATCCTGGCTCCTGCCATCGGATCAGCGCGGTGCGCCGGCTGCAGCGGCGGCCATTGGAGGGTGAACCAACGGCAAAGGAAGACCTTTCTCTCTCTGTCTCTCTCTCTCACTGTCCACTCTGCCTGTCAAAAATAAAAAAAAATAGATAATGCAACTCTACTGCCTAATCAGTCTTACTGTGCACTCGGAAATGCTTCCTTCCTATGCCAGCATCTATTAACCCGTACCAGGAGAGGCAATCAAATCTGCTCCCCTGTCTTGTTGCTTCTCCACAGGTTGAAATTGCCTTGGCTACTGAGCCCCTTCCGATTCCCCTCTCCAGAAAAGCCCGGATAGCCCGGGCGCTGGCCCTTATCCCTTTGCTTGTGGGGTTGGGTGTTTCCGCTGGGATGGGTACTGGTGTGGCTGGGATCTCCGCCTTTTATCTCAACAACCGATTACATTCTCAGGTTGTCGGGGACCTGCAAGAAATAACCCAATTGCTTAGAGTCTTACAGGAACTGATCTCCTCCCTGGCCTCAGTAGTCCTTCAAAACAGAAGAGGATTGGATTTACTAACGACAAAGGAGGGAGGCCTTTGTGTCTTCCTCAAGGAGGAGCGCTGCTTTTTTGTTAACCAATCTGGAGTTGTCCAGGATCGAATTAAACAACTTCAAGACAACCTTGAAAGTCACCGGCGACGACTAATGGACTCTTACAATGGCTGGCGAGGGATGTGGGGAGGGTGGCTACCCCACCTCCTGCCGTTGTTTGGTCCAATCACTGCCATAACTGCACTTCTGCTCATAGGCCCCTGTGTCTTCGCTTGACAAGGCCACTAAGCCTTTGCTCGAGTTTGCTGCACTTCGGCATTCCAGTGGCAGCGTTTCCAACAACTCAAGATGGCCCCCGGAGGAGGTACCTAGCCTGACAGGAGACTTCCGTACTCGTGAACAGTATATGTGATAGGCCCTTGAGGGCGTGCCCGGCTCGTGTCCTGCCTGACCTTTCAGCTGGTTGGCTCGGTTCCCTTGTGCCTTGGACAGCCCCCTTTTTGTGTCTATAAAAGCTTTTCCCCCTCCCAATAAAGTTGAGAACCCAGCTGCGCCCTGGGCATTGACTGATCTCCCAGCTCTGGTGTAGTTCCTTTGCCGCTGACACTCATCATCCCGCTAGGCCTTCGAGCTCCCTAGGCTGGCCCTGAGGAGCTCCATCGGACCTGCTGCCCCGTAGAGAGCAGCAGGCAGAAGCAGAAATAATGAAGGGGCTGCATCACCCTCACATTATAAAACTGTTGCAGCTAAGGCACACGACAGAGAGAGCCTACATTTTTATGGAGTATGTGATCGTGGGGAGCTTAGGTGGTACATGATAGAGCAAGGCTGCCTACAGGATGAAGCGATACATTGGCTGTTTAACCAAACTTTATTAGCTGTGCATTACTGACATGAGCAGCGTATCATGCACAGAGATTTAAAGTTAGAAAATCTCCTTCTAGATGCCAATCTAAATATTAAGTTGACCGATTTGGGGCTCAGCTGCAAATTGGCTGATGGAGAAAACCTGAAAGATTTGTGTGGGACATTTGAGTATTGTGCCCCTGAGGAATTCTTAGAGGAGGAGTTCAGTGGGTACAAGGCTGATGTCTGGAGTCTGGGCGTGGTCCTGTACACCATGGTGACATGGTCACTACCTTTTGACGGGGAGGATTTTGTGCAGCTCAAGGAAAACATCCTGTCCGGACACTACCAAATTCTCACCTGTGTAAACCTAGAGCTTAGTAACCTGTTGGAAAGGTTACTGACCCATGACCCGGAGGTGAGGCCCATAGTGGCAGACACCATGGGCTACCAGTGGCTCAGTGCAGGACATGAAGTACCTGAAACAAGTGAAGAGTTTCTGTTTCTACCCCAGGAACAGGAAATACAGGAATTCCCAGGGGGCCTATGCTCTCAATTGTGCCTTTAAGAACGGGATGACCCCTTGTCTTCTGTGCCACACTGGGTGAAATCCCAACAGCAGGGCTATAGCATGCAAGAAATACATGGACATAGTGAAGTGGAAACTTTAGTATCTCCTCAGGGTCCTGAAGCTCTAAGGTCTTTTGAGGACCTGGGATTCCAGCTGGACCATAAAGCAGGCTCCCTGCCACCCAGGCTCCAAGTCAGTGCCTGTCCCCAGGACTTCAGAACACCGCAATAAAGTGAAGCCCATGCCTCATGCCATCCCCAGTGTTCAAAGCAGTCCCATTCTCCATTGCCTCCAGGGACAATCAGGCTGCAACAGCAGAGCCCATGAGTGTGCTGCTCTCAGCTCCCAACCACTGATACTTGCAGAAGACCAATCGGGGCAGAATCCTTGCCATGGGACTCCCAGTATGAGTAGCAGTGAGTCCTGCAGGATAGATAGTTCCCAACTGGCCATGTTGACAAGGACCCCCGCTGCCTGTGCAGTCCTTAGCCAGGATCCTCTGACCTCCCTCTCCACCACACTGAGCACCAACAGCAGTGAGGATGATTTAGAAGTCAGGAGCTGCTCACAGGCAGCATCAGAGAAACAGAGCATCCCAGGCAAACAGCAGCAGCAGCAGGAGGAAGAGGAGGAGGAGGAGGAAGAGGAGGAGGAGAAGGAGGCAGGGACCTCAGACACTCAGGCTAAAAAGAGCAAGGGTCGCCCGGGGATTGGCAGGAGGATCGTCAAATTCTTCACCTGGATG